AAACAATTGTATGAAATATTTAATCGCCGAAAATCTCTAAATACAAGTCGTTTACATTTCCCAAATGGCAAAAGGCGTAGGAATATTGTTTGGCGGCAACACGGAATTACAGTAATCTAAGTTGGCGGTAATTTTAATTTCGAAGACGAAACGTACCTTTTAAATTTGGAGGAATCTGATGATAGAAAGGTAATTATTGTTAATTATGATATTCTTTTGTTTGATTTGATTGTGATTTTTTAATTGATTTCAATTAAATGTATGCACATTTGAATTCCTTCCTTTTGTATTATTCCGTTTATCACATAACTACCTTGTTAAATAATGTTGTTGTTATTAGTCCCCTACTGACGAAGTCGAAGGGGACTTTAGGTTTGCACTCTGTCCGTCTGTCCATCCGTCAGTCCGGCAACTCAGTTTTCCACACTTTTTTTCTTCGTTCTTGAAGATATTAGGTATATAGTTTTATCATGACAAGTTATAGATCAAGTTCGAATTTTGTTCCGGTCTGATGATTTAGTCCAGAGTTATGGTCCATAAAAAAACTCCATAACTAATGTTAGAGTACTATGTTAAACCATATATCTGTACAAAGGGAGATAACTCATTTTTTAAAAGACATTCTTTGGTTAATTGTTTGAGGAATGTTGTGGCAGGTTTATATGTTATTTTGTATAAACTAATTTTCTGAATGCTACATGTATATACATATGTATTTTTTTTATTAAATGAAATCCTTTAATTAGATAATAATCTATTTTTATTAAGGTATATATTTCATTACATTACATTGTGTAGATAAAAGTTGTTAACATTTTATAGATAAGTTGCAAATCTATATTAGTTTGTGACAAATGAAAGAAAAAAATATTTGGAACTATTAATTATAGTTGATTGTAATTTGAAAATAGATAAAACATACAATACATTGTATTACATCATATCTAATTTAAGAGAACTATTAATCATATCTAATGTTAGAGTGTTATAGGTTTTTCACACTTTTTTTCATTATGTTTGAAGATATTGATTGACAATTGGTATATAGTTTTATCATGACAAGTTACAGATCAATTTCAAATTTTTGTTTTGGTCTGATAATTTTGTAAAGAGTTATGGTCCTTGTTATTGTTATTTATGAATTAAAAAAAACAAGAAGTAGGTTTAATCAGATTACTTTACATTGCTTAGAAAAGTTTGATATACAAATTTTACATTCACTAATTCTTTAGTGTATGATATATAACATATATTTAACAAACTTATATTGCAGAAAAAAACTTTAAAATTGTCAGTTAGCAATTTTAAGGTTGATTGAAGACAATTTTTTGTTTTTCAAACAAATAAGTTTGTTTTTTCTTCTATATTTTGACAAAATTAACATTTCACATAGTGAAATCTTTTTTAAGTTTTTTGCCTAGTCTGTAAATTTTTTTTATAAAATGACTACCTTGATATGTAGTCCATAATTATGATCATTATAAGAAAACCACTTTCTCTTATGGTTGTGGCACCTTATCTATTTCTCACATGAAGAGATATGACACTGCACAGAGTGTGATATGAAAAATTGGCTAATCTAATAGGCTTATCCAGCATTAGGAAACTATATTGCCACATTTCTATTGGCTATTCATTAGGTCATTGATGACTTTCAAAGGAGAAAACAATGTGCATTTCCTCCATGGCAAAAGGTGATATGTGATTTCTTCAATGATATACAAAACACTCACAAATTTTCACCTGAAAATCTTATTTTTGTCAAATTTTTATGACATTCTGAAGCGTTTAGAAAATTTTGAAATGTCTCATGTTGAAGTTTGACACTGGAACAGTACATGTGGTGTCATACTGGTATGTGCAAAAGACTAGATCAACTGGACACAGACTTTTCTATTTAACCCAAATAGAATGTTTACGATAAGTGAAATAGGTTTAATACGTGAGAATTGGGTATTGCTTGATATCAACTCTCGTTGTTTAATTTAAATAGTAATAATAAACTAGCCACAGGTTTGTTTATTATTATTATATTGAAATTAAATAACTCAAGTTGATAGCAAGTGATATCAAATTCTCAGTTGTTATGAAAACTATAATTATATATTAATTATCATAGAAATTGTAGTGTATGAATTTTCAATGCCAATATTTATTTTAAAAACAGCTCTGTAATAATAAGATTGTTACAATATATCAAAATTCAGTCTGTTTCTTTTGGTCAAACTAAACTTCTTCATAGATATTTTTAGCTTTTCTCATCACTTGGCGTCCGTCGTCCGTCGTCGTCGTCGTCCGTCGTCGTTTGCTTTTTACAAAAATCTTCTCCTCTGAAACCACTGGGCCAAATTTTACCAAACTTGGCCACAATCATCATTAGGGTATCTAGTTTAAAAAATGTGTCCGATGACCCCGCCAACCAACCAAGATGGCCGTCATGGCTAAAAATAGAACATAGGGGTAAAATGTAGATTTTGGCTTATATCTCTGAAACCAAAGCATTTAGAGTAAATCTGACATGTGGTAAAACTGATTATCAGGTCAAGATCTATCTGCCCTGAAATTTTCAGACAAATCTGACAACCTGTTGTTGGGTTGCTGCCCCTGAATTGGTAATTATAAGGAAATTTTGCAGTTTTTTGTTATTATCTTGAATATTATTATAGATAGAGATAAACTGTAAACAGCAATAATGTTCAACAAAGTAAGATCTACAAATAAGTTGTCATGACCAAAATTGTCAGTCGACCCCTTTAGGAGTTATTGCCCTTAATAGTCAATTTTTAACAATTTTTCGTAAACTTTTGTAATCTTTTGCAAAAATCTTCTTCTCTGAAACTACTGAGACAAATTTAACAATACTTGGCCATAATCATTATTAGGGTATTTAGTTTAAAAAAATTGTCCGATGACCCCGCCTTCCAACCATCATGGCCAACTTGGTTAAAAATAGAACATAGGGGTAAAATGCAGTTTTTTGTTTATATCTCTGAAACTAAAGCATTTAGAGGAAATCTGACAGGTGGCAAAAATGTTCATCAGATTTAGATTTATCTGCCCTGAAATTTTCGGACGAATCGGACAACCCGTTTTTGGGTTGCTGCCCCTGAGTTAGTAATTTTACAAAAAATTTGCAGTTTTTTGTTATTATCTTAGATATCATTATAATATCTAATATCTAATACTATTAATTATGATTTTAACCTTATTTTACATGATTTCCAAAGCATCAGTAAATACAGGTGAGCGACACTGGCCCTTGAGAGCCTCTAGTTATTGTACTTACAAAATAGAAATTAACACGGAAAAAATACAGACTGACTTCTGATTGTTTGTATTACCTGTCAAGATCATCAAGATTAGGAAAATGCTACCATTCATCCTTATTTGTGTGATTTTTGTGGATTTTGTTGGTATAGGTGATCCACAAATTATAATGTTCAACGATAAAGGATTTCCTATTTCATGCATTATTTGTAAAATCCACGAAAATTAAGAATCTATGAAAAAGCTATTTTTTCTAAATCAGCAAAAATAATTCCATAGTAAGTCTTAAATGCATTGTTTGTTTTTTGGGGTTTTTTTTCATTCACAAATTATATCCAAAAACATTTCCTACAATAATATCTTGATGGTCAAGACAAGAGGAAAGAATGCATATATAATCAGATTCTTAATCATCATTTCTCTCAATATAGACGGAAACAAAGCAATGATGGAAAGCATGATGGGGGCAAATCGTGGTTTGGAAACAAAAAAGAAAAAGAAAAACCTCCAAAAGACCAAAAATCAAAGACGTAATTATATTTTTAAATTCATATCTTGAAAATTGTTTGCACATCTAAACTTGGCTTACATTGAGTGGTCTGGTGAGTAATGTTCACTTAATGTCTTAGGTAATATTTGTGTATTGAATCCTAATGAACATGCTATTATTTCCGGTTAAAGTTGTCTTTAAGTTATAAGTATTTCATGTGATATATATTTAATGAGTACATTAGCGTGAATACTGCAAACAAACTAATTTTTGTGTTAAGCCCTTTCTAGCCAACTTTATAATGATTTATTATCGTGATTTTTTTTTTATATTTATATAAAGGAAGACCCAATTTAACATACTCATGACGATTTATATTCACTTTATTTTTCTACTCATGAAAATAAAATTGCTCCCCAAAATTAGTATTATATAACTACTACATGTATTATTACTGGTTGGAATCGTGCGACATAAGAACAAAATTAGAGGGAATTTCTTAAAATCATTTGCTAGTTGTGTTTGCTTTTACCATATAGCCAAAGAGCATAATTTTTTTAATTGTCATAAATATTAAATGCTACATTAACATTGTTATTAATGCTGCTTTTAATAACTTACAATAACTTTTATGATAATTTTTGATACACATGTTTATATTCAGTTTTACTCACAATAATTTCATTTTCTTCAGAAATATGTATGTAATTTAACATGGTTGACATGAAACTACTTACAATTTATTGCAACAGAAATCCTTCAGAGTAGTTTGTCTTTAAGCTGAAATAGAAATGGATTTTTTATGAATTTTAAAATTTGCACTATTTTAAATTTAAAAACCAAAGAAAGAATTCTATATTAATTAACAAGATTATGCATATAAAAATTCTTGCATCAACCAGTAAAATTAAACCTAACTTTAGATGTCTTTAATGGAAAATAGATACTTCAGAAAGGTAATGAGTTCTTGCTCCCTCTGTGGTTATTCCAAATGACTCCATGCTTCCATTAGAACAGTTTCCTTTTATAGGCAACCAAAATAATTCTTAAGAAATGTATACCTTATGATGAATCTCCTTCCAGTTTATTTGGTAAGCTTCCTTTTGGAAAAAAGACAGTCAAGGCAGAACCTGAAAAGAAAGAAGATGTTAAAGTAGAGAAAGATCCTCCATCAGAAACTAAAGAAAACACACCTAATAAAGAAAATACAGAGCCAGAGGTCAAGGAGGAGCCAGTGAAAAAGAGGAACCTAAAGGTTTATTTTTACATAAAACAAAAAATAGTTGTGATTTAGTTAGTAATTATTTTACATGGTGGAAAAGTTGTTAAAGGGCTTAATTAATCCTTTAGATTTTCACATTATAGAGGTGTTTTAAATTTGTCATTTATTATTATTTGGTTTTTTTCTTAAAACCATATTTGCAGACAACATAGAAAATCTTTGGAAAGTTAGATGATATATTCTTTTCCATCAGTGATATTGTGTGAAAATGTGCTCGCCTGAAACCGAATATAATGCATATTTTGAATTATCGACATCCCATTCCTTTTGGTCTTAAAATTACATGTGTACACTTAAATTGCAACTCGGCACTCCTTCAAAGTCTGCTTGTCATATTGTTTGTCATGCAATGTCCAGATTTAGAAAGTGCACACATTAACTTGACAGTACATCAAATGTATTTTCAGTTGCATGCATATTTTCCTTCTATATATACTCAATATGAATTCCTATAGGTGAATGAAAGTGTTAATACTTGCTGCATAATATATTATTCTGTAGAAGAGAAAACCCAACCAGAGCCAGAGAAAAAAGATGAAGACAAACAACCAAAGAAGGCTTTGAGGCCTCCTGGTGGTGGAATACGTCTCGGTGTTATGGGTGGTGATATGTTGGCTCAGCTGAGACAAAAACAACAGAACAGAAAATTGGTGGTAAGTAAAATAGTAAAACAAGGCATTGAGGCTACTATTAGAAGGTATAGGCCTAGATGATATGTAGGCTTAACTTAAACACAGACAATAGAACAGAAAATCTGTGGTAACAGTAATAAAACAAATGTTGAGACTGAAGTATGGTAGTTAAATGAAGAAGACATTGAGACTTCCAATAGAATATATAGGTTTGGATGTTATCGATGATGGTATATTCTTTCTACTTAAACAAAAGACAGCAAGCAGAAATATTAGGTCAACTGTACAAGGTTTCCTTTGTGTAAGCAGGGCAGAACAGGTGCTCAAATTTGGTAAAAGTGACATAAATTAAAAAAAAAAAGTAAGATGTTAAATGAAAAAATAGTTTTGCATTAAATTTTAAGCAGTGACTTTGAAACAATTAGCACCACCACTACAGAAATATCTACAGTACAGCATATATAATGTATATAACCATATCAGACCACAGAAATATCTACAGTACAGCATATATAATGTATATAGCCATATCAGACCACAGAAATATCTACAGTACAGCATATATAATGTATATAGCCAAATCAGACCACAGAAATATCTACAGTACAGCATATATAATGTTTATAGCCATATCAGACAACAGAAATATCTACAGTACAGCATATATAATGTATATAGCAATATCAGACCACAGAAATATCTACAGTACAGCATATATAATGTATATAGCCATATCAGACCACAGAAATATCTACAGTACAGCATAGATATTTAATGTAATAAAAATATGCTATATTCGATGTGGTAAGTAAAATAGTAAAACAAGGTATTGAGGCTTCTATTAGAAGGTATAGGCCTAGGTGATATGTAGGCTTAACTTAAACACAGACAATAGAACAGAAAATCTGTGGTAACAGTAATAAAACAAATGTTGAGACTGAAGTATGGTAGTTAAATGAAGAAGACATTGAGACTTCCGATCGAATATATAGTTGGGATGTTATCGATGATGGTATATTCTTTCTACTTAAACAAAAGACAGCAAGCAGAAATATAAGGTCAACTGTACAAGGTTTCCTTTGTGTAAGCAGGGCAGAACAGGTGCTCAAATTTGGTAAAAGTGACATAAATTAAAAAAAAAAAGTAAGATGTTAAATGAAAAAATAGTTTTGCATTAAATTTTAAGCAGTGACTTTGAAACAATTAGCACCACCACTACAGAAATATCTACAGTACAGCATATATAATGTATATAACCATATCAGACCACAGAAATATCTACAGTACAGCATATATAATGTATATAGCCATATCAGACCACAGAAATATCTACAGTACAGCATATATAATGTATATAGCTAAATCAGACCACAGAAATATCTACAGTACAGCATATATAATGTTTATAGCCATATCAGACCACAGAAATATCTACAGTACAGCATATATAATGTATATAGCCATATCAGACCACAGAAATATCTACAGTACAGCATATATAATGTATATAGCCATATCAGACCACAGAAATATCTACAGTACAGCATAGATATTTAATGTAATAAAAATATGGTATATTCGATGTGGTAAGTAAAATAGTAAAACAAGGTATTGAGGCTTCTATTAGAAGGTATAGGCCTAGATGATATGTAGGCCTAACTTAAACACAGACAATAGAACAGAAAATCTGTGGTAACAGTAATAAAACAAATGTTGAGACTGAAGTATGGTAGTTAAATGAAGAAGACATTGAGACTTCCAATCGAATATATAGGTTTGGATGTTATCGATGATGGTATATTCTTTCTACTTAAACAAAAGACAGCAAGCAGAAATATTAGGTCAACTGTACAAGGTTTCCTTTGTGTAAGCAGGGCAGAACAGGTGCTCAAATTTGGTAAAAGTGACATAAATTAAAAAAAAAAAGTAAGATGTTAAATGAAAAAAAATAGTTTAGCATTAAATTTTAAGCAGTGACTTTGAAACAATTAGCACCACCACTACAGAAATATCTACAGTACAGCATATATAATGTATATAACCATATCAGACCACAGAAATATCTACAGTACAGCATATATAATGTATATAGCCATATCAGACCACAGAAATATCTACAGTACAGCATATATAATGTATATAGCCATATCAGACCACAGAAATATCTACAGTACAGCATATATAATGTATATAGCCATATCAGACCACAGAAATATCTACAGTACAGCATATATAATGTATATAGCCATATCAGACCACAGAAATATCTACAGTACAGCATATATAATGTATTTAGCCATATCAGACCACAGAAATATCTACAGTACAGCATATATAATGTATATAGCCATATCAGACCACAGAAATATCTACAGTACAGCATATATAATGTATATAGCCATATCAGACCACAGAAATATCTACAGTACAGCATATATAATGTATATAGCCATATCAGTTTATCAATAATAACCAAGTATTGAAACTTTTTATGCTTTTGAAATGTAAATTAAATTTTTTGTAGGATAAAACTCCGAGTGAAGAAACTAAGGAAAAGGAAGCAGTAAAGCCACCAAAGACAGAAACAGCAGTATCACCCAAGCCTTCAGAAACAAAGGATGACACGAAATCCAAGGAGAAAACTCCAATATCTGTCTTAAAGCTGGTACATGACCAGAACAGACCAAAACCAGCTCCTCGTCCAAACAGTAACAGTAGCAGGACATCGACTGCTTCCAGGACTTCCACAATTGGGGAAGGTAACTGGACACACCATTCTTATACATATAGAATGTATAATATTATTAATAGAATTTGAATTTGATTTTATAAGGAATTCAATTTCCACAATTAAGGATCTAGAAATACTTCAAAAAGGATATTGAAAATGATATGCTACAGTTACTTTTATTCCAATGTGGAAACCACGTTTGACAGACAAAACATTTTTGTTTATTACTGTGAAACTATTTTCTTTAGAAAGTAATAACATAGCTTGTGTATGTCTTTTAAAGAAATTTACAGAAATTACTAAAAGTTCCTTAAATATCAACAGAAACTGGACAGTTTTTAAGGGTCTTAACTTTCGTCTTCCCTCAGATTAAATCTATAACAGAAGATTTCAATGTCATTGCATGTGTTATGATAGTATTTATTGTGTGTAAATAATATTGTCTGCCTTTCCATATCTAAGCCTGTATGTTTTCTCAGAGTTTCATTCTTTTCAAATGGTTTAATTGCACGTGGAACAGATTCTTTCAGAAAAACTTCTATGAATTCTTTTTATTTTCATATTATACATATGTTTTCATTTAATTTAACTATACATCTACATTTTAGGAAGAGTAACCAGAGTTTTCAGAAGACATTTAAATAAAGGCAATGATTAATTATTTGTATTTTACATATATTCAAGATGATTATATCTTTTAGATGGAGAAACTAAAGGTCAAAAACCTGCTCCAAAACCACGCCCTAATCCACCTCCAAAACCCAGGGGAAGTGTCAAGAGTGATGGTAAGTTACACTCACAGGTCTGACTCTATCCCTGAAATTCATTACCTAAAATTTTAGACAAGAATGAAAATAGACTCTAAGGTCCTAAATTTTATGTGTTAAAAAGATTTCTTAAAATCAGAATATTTGTTAAACTAATTTAGTTCACCAGGATATCATATTGTGAATTATATTCATGGAGTGCTTATGTTGGCTTAATTCACTTGTTAAATGAAATCTTCTGAAATAAAAACTGCCAATATACTATGAAAATCATGTGGAATTTAATTTTACAAATAGGATTATTGTACTTGGTGTTTATCTGCTAATTCCAAAATGTGATATAAAATTTTAAAAGATGGCAGCCTCATTTTGACTTTGTGTGTTCTCTAGACTTTAAAAATAATATTGTAAACATTCAGATGGTTTTATGTATGTTTCTAGAAAGCTAAAATAACATTGGCTACTTATAGATGGAGAGATTGAAAATTCTGGACCAGTTCTTAAAACACGCCCAAATCTTCTTCCAAAACCTCGGGCAAATGTCAAAAGTGACCGTAATTAACAAGGCCCTTTGTGAACCCTATAACAAACCACAGTCAAGTCCACTGCTTAAACTTATGTTAATGCCAGATTTATTGATGTCATGTAAAATGAAAGTACACTATTCAAGCACTTCATTGAATGATTTAACTGAGTGATGTCAGATGATAAGACAAAAGTCTATGTAATTCACTGCAGAATATCACAGCAGAATGCACCAAACGAATCTCTGTTATATGTGCACTGCAAGTATTTATAACCACAAGCACCAAAACCCAAATACGTTCGGTTAAATATTTTTCACAGCAGGTTTAATGTAATAATAACAAGAATTACTGTGGATTCATTATTATTCGTGGGATACTAATTTTCTTGGATTTTTTGGGTAAAGAAGAACCACAAATTTGAATGTTGAATGAAGTACAAATTTTCTGAAGGCTTGTATGAAGACTTTGGCAAAACAACAAAATCAAATATCCATGGAAATACAATTTTTTCTCAATCCATGAAAATTGGTATCTACAAAAATAAATGAACCCACATTAGATAAAAAGATAACTAACAGTGATATATCTTAAAAAGTGTTTAATAATTAATAAATTGTAATGTTTTTTACGAATTCTTTAGATATAAGTGATACATGTAAGTATCAGAAGTTCCTAGGTTTACCTACTATCAAAGCTTTCAGACATCAAAATAGGCTTTTTTTTGTTTGCTATCACAGCTTTCTTCTTACAGTTAGAAAATAAATTCTATGTCCTGTCAATCTTTATATGAGCCCCTGGTTTGAGGGAAGGGAGAGGGGTGTATGTTTTGTAAGGGAACCTAATAAAGTTTCTAAAACTAAATTTAGTGATTCTAGCATAGTTAGAAGTATTTTAATCAAGAGCAGATTTGAAAAAATCAATTTCATGTCTCAAAAAAAAAGAAGCCTGTATTTAATTTCAAACCCTTGTTTATGAATGAAATAGAACCGGATATCAACGTTGATTGGTCGATATATTTCAAGACAGTCTCACTAATTAGAGACAAGAAGCAACAAGAAGAAAAAAGTTAGCGGCAAGAAAGTTTATATACTATTTAAACAATACATTTATAGAAAAGACAATTAATTACAGTTGATTATTTTCTGTTTTATAAAGTTTAAGATAATGTTATATTTAGTAGCACTACGTACTTCTTGATGCTTCTTGACGCTTCTTGTCTGTAATTAGTGAGACCCTTTCAAGATGTCAAACTTGCCGAGAATGAAAGTAGAATGTGATATGGATTTTAGACTCAGAAAGATCGTTGATCATAGTAAGGCACACGCAAATGTAGAAAAACTGTTTATATATTACTGTATATTGGTACGGATGTCTGGAAATGTATAAAATCAGCGAAAAACTATGGTGTACCATTTGGTTCAAAAGGTATTTTTATCGGTTAACCGCTACTTTTATCGGTTAACCGCTATTTCTATCGGTTAACCGCTAATTTTATCGGCTAACCGCTAGTTTTATTGCTTAATCAATTCTAATTATCGTCTTTGCACAAAATAACTTATTATTTTAAATGAGTAAGTGATTGATGGACACAGATTATCGCTAAACCTGGAAATACAGTAATGTGGATTGCTTACGCCTCCCATATATCTATTTTTGGTTCAATCACTCCCACCCAAGTTATAGAATTGTAAATTGACAAACGCACACAAGTTTCTAGTGTTGAACACGTGACAATTCTTTATAGCACATAACACTTTATTGTACATCAGCAATTTTTATTTTATTTTATTTTACACTTCTAATATTACAAAATGTATTGGAGTTTATGGATTAATATAAAGTTTTAAATTCCAAAACTTAGTGGAAAAACATGAAAATGCTCATTTATCAAATAGAGGTACTTGTATAAATTCCACTCCTACAAATCTTTATTAATGATAATTCGATTGATGATACCGTGTGTAATGAAGACGAGAAATGTAATCTTCTAACATGCACATATATTTGTCTTATTTCCAAATTAGAAAAGGAAAACTGTCCTCTTCCATATTTCTCACACAGACATGAAACGATATCTATGATACATTTTCTATATTATTGAATTAAGTTAATACTAAATGCTTTCATTCAATAATTTTTAAATAAGCACTTGAACAATGTACCTTTGGTTATAATTGTATTATTGCAAATGTTATTGAAATTTGAAAAAGGTAGTTTTAGCATCCACTTTCCGATTTATGTCCGATATATGTTACAAGTTGTGGTGGTATAAAGTAATGGAGAGAGTTATCTAATAAGAAAGTATAACTTTATTTAATAACGAGAAACAAAATTTTATGAATGTTCGTCAAAATTCCGCCTAAAATGACAAACTGTGCATCAACTCATAACAACGTATATAACTGCTTCTTTTTTTTTAAAGATGTTGTAATTAAGCTTTAGCTACTTCGATTTTTTGTGTTTTTTGTGTGACTTTCCTTAGTTATTTGATAACGTTGGATATAGATTCTTCAATAAAAAAAGAATGAAAGAATATGGAGTTTAATGTAACTTGTTAAATAGTTTATGAGCTACCTACAAAAGAGCCCTCAAAGAGCGAAAATAAAAAATAAACCATCTGTATTTGGTCATTTCCCGCTGAAGTCTTTCAAGAATACTTAGACTAATTTATTTCATATACAATGTATATATTTAAACTAATGACATATTTGATTAACTTATTTTCTTAGTAGACATTTTGCTGATGATGTTTGGACCAGCAGCTCGGTCTTAATACACTGCCAATTAAACCAGTTGTTGACCATGACTTGAATAAGCTGGACGAATGGTTAAGGAAATGTTTTTTTTTAAATTTAAATAAGACTGAGAACATAGTAGTTACTAATTTTACTTTCCAGATCTAAACTTTATGCAATATAGCCAGGACATTCCAATTGCTAAGTCATATAAACATTCGGTTGTAACATTTGACACTGAAATGGAACACTCATAATATATATTGAATTATTAATTGACCCACCAGCTTCTCCCTCTTCCCCTCTTCTCCCACCCTCATTTGTACATGTAGTTCTTGGCATAATTCTGGCGTTTATAATTTGATGACCTGATAAGCCAAAATATTTAAAGTAAAAACATTTGTGATACTATGAATTTACGTAAAAATTGTACACCAAGGTTCAAGTTAAATTGCAAGATATTTTATTATTTATAATCTTATTTTGTGCATATTTTTAGTTTTTTTATTTGAAAAAAAAATCATGAATTAAAAACAATATCTAATATACTCAGGGTTTTCTTATTGAATAATAAAACTGAAAACATCTGCATTAGAATCAAAATAAAATAGGGAAGGTCATGATGTAACTTCAAGGCAATCCTTCCTCGGGATATTACTTACTAATGACACAATCAATTAAGTTTATCAAATTGATCATTTCCAGCTACTTAGATGGTAGAGTTTATATTCCCCCAAACATTCACCGTCTTGAAACGTCTTGAAGATAAAACAAATACAACAGGCTGGATTAAATGAATTAAAATGTAATTTCACCTGGTAGACCAATCATATCACAGTGTGGTTCAGTAATTGAACTTACCGGCCATGTTATAAGGTTTTATTTTGATGTTGAGTTAGAGTCACGATTGCAAATTTATTTTCTGTAACTCATACAAAGCCTTTTTCTGCAACTGTGATAAGAGTGTTCATTGCCAATCTCAGAAAAGATCCGTCTGAAGTAAATTTGATAAATTTAAAAACACTTACCGTTATCTTGATGATATTTTTGCTTTAAATAATAAAAAAAAAATGATTGTAATTATTCTAGATTTGAATAATTATATTTCAATTTCACACGGGAAACTCTTACTATACAAAAAAAAGAAACGATTTTTTGTTCTTGATTGTTAATTTTCCTTTTTTTGATGGCGAAGTTCCTTTGGACTCCGATTACTGTGTGTATTTTTCACAAAATGTTCGCTATATGCCGGTGTCTGCAGTCGGATTTGAGGGTTCAATTAACGTAATTTATGTATAATTGATAATAAAATTGAAAAATGTGGACTCAAATCAGCTGCATTAAAATCTAAAAGAAACCCGGACCATTTGTTAAAAAACTTGGACGTTTTGAATATTGCTCTCGAAAAAACACGGACAATGTGAAATGCTAAATTTGAAGTAAAACAGTGCTCAAAATGGGGGTTACTAAAAAGCGGAAAAGGAATACGGAACGGAAACGGAAAACAGAAACAGAGTAATACATGTAAGAATGTAGACATGTCAGGTTTAGGACTTTGTGTCAACTGTTCGGACTCCTTGTTTTTTTTAACGATACAGGGTAAAATATTTCCCCATATCACCCTCTTTTCATTGCATATAAGACTTCAATATCTCATACCCCAAGGGTGACTGGGGAATAGAAATATGGTCACCATTGGTCTTCCTCCAACGGGCAGTAAAACCCTCGTCAAAGTGGGGGCGTCCGTTTGGCTGTGCGGGATATACAAATTTGCAGCCACGTCCGGTCAGAATGGAGACGTTTAATCCGAAGCCTCGTGTAAAGAGAGTGCCACGCTCTTTGCACGTTAAGAACCCTTGCAACAACTCTTTGAGGGGTCCGTAGGTGACCTGTTGCAAGGTTAAATTTCTGGCCCTATCCAGTATACCCTCATTTCCCGTGGTAGTCTAAATTTCTCCGACCTTAATCCCGGACGCCTCTATTACAGAACCTACCTATTGTATTTATTGTTAATTTGTTCTCGTCCAGAATATGCATGAAATATTTGCCACTGGACGTTAAGCAACCAACAATCAATCAATCAATATCTCATAAAAGGTCTTTAACCAAATTCAAGCCGATTCTAGATTTCTTTTCTTACGATTTGAGAGCCAAATATTGCCTATGCTAATTAAGGTAAAAGTCCAAGTCAGCCTATTCCCGCTTTAAAAAAAAAATTCTCGAAAAGGAGTTCCATTACTTATCTTATTTTTAGCTGACTTTTCCTTAAACTAATGCTCTTCTGATTTATAGTACTAGTATCAAATTTTAATTCCAGATATTTGTTTAATTTCACCTAACTCCAGTATTAAGATAAAAGATTTTAAAGCATAAAGTATTGAAATAATTGGCATGCGATGATGAGACTTTGTTTTTAAAATATTGATTGTACGTAATCTAATGGCGTAAACCACTTGCAATTGTTCCAGTGGTTCATCTATTTTAAATTCTACTTGTGACCATGAACGTACGTCGTAAAGGAGCGGGGATGCAATTCAATGAAGTCTGTTTGACTTTTCTTATTTAAAAAGTAAATCATAAAGATATTGGATAAACGTCAATAACACAGTAACCCAACA